CGTGGGGATTTACGTGCCTGTATGTTTATATATGCGTGTATGTGTGTGTGTAAGTTTTACATATTTTAGATGTCCATTGTTTGCATTTGAATGAAAATAAAGACAATGACAAGCCCAAAAACGCGTCACAAATTTAGCTAATAGCCACAAAATGGATGAATGGATAGAAACTCCATTTCCTTTTAGCGCCAGCTATGCAGTTTATTGTTAAACATTTTGTGGTGTGCATGCTTTTTGCCTATTAGTCGAATTGTTAATAACAATAGAAGGAATCTCGTCATATTACAGTCCATCATTAGTGCTGGCTCAAAGCAAAGCGAACGGACATATTTGAAGCCGAAATGGCGCCATTATGCAAACGAGTGTGAGAGCTACCACAAAAACCTACGGACTTTACTGGCAAGCTTATCGAAAACTTAGATTGTAAACTAATTGGAGTTAAGTCGAGCAAACAAGGCAACTGGTTGGGCAACCGAATTGTTAAAAAATTATACAGCAAAAAGACTTACCGGCTTTTCTAGAGAAGGGAATACATATGTAAAAAGCCATATGTAAATAAGAAAAGGAACTTTCTATATATTACTATATTTCATTCATCACTAAATACGACTGTTTCTATGATATGTAAAATATCTATAACACTAAAAACAAATACAATCGTATGGTTTTATAGTATTTTTAGTAAATTTAGAAACATTTATTATTAAATTAGTTTTCTTAGTTATATAAATTAATACATTTCTTAAATGAACAACTTGAAATACAACTCAAAATATAAGTTTTAAGGATAATCAAGTCAAGCTTTGATACCTTCTAATGTTTCAAAAAAGGTGTTGCATACTCCAATCGATAAGAATCTTTGTCTTTGAATGTGTTTGTAATGTCTGTATTTCTAATTTTTAAATTAGTTTTAATACATCTTATAAATGAGAACTATAGGTGTCTTATGTTCACAAATACTCTAAAAAGTAGAGCATCATATATTCACCATTGTTTTTCTAAATAATCATATTTTCCTCATATTTCCTTTTCAAATTGAAAATGAAATTTCGTCACCAAAGTTTCTGATTCTTCCATTCCATGACGTTCCAGATTCAAACGCTTGCCCTGGTAGTATGCATGCCTCGATTCAGTTTACCGACTAACCGAAAAACAAAAGCTATAACAAGTATACGCAAAGTGTCTCGGTGCGCAACTGTGTAGTCTTCTTTTAGGCAGCCCGCAGCTCGGTTGCTTGCTCACAGCTGCTAACTAAAGTGGAGTCAATGAAAATTGCAACTCCCACTTTGCTCGTACGTCAATTAGACTTGTTTTTGCTTGCTGGGCTCTGCCTTCACCCACACGGGCAGACAGGCAGGCAGACAGGCAGATCGACAGACCGACAAAAGGGCAGACAGACAGAGGGATGGACTGAGGGACAAAGTGACATAGAAAGCCCTATAGCTTATCGTGTGTACTGCTGATGGCTTCTGCTGCTTCACAGCCATCCCACTCTAACTAGCTATGGTTTTTCTTACTCTTACGTACACATACATACATACGTGTACGTTTACCCACACATTCTTTTATTGCAGTGCAATTTGTTGTAGAATCGTTTTGTCCGACAGTTGAACAGTTTGTTATTTCTTTTAAATGTTCCAAGTAAAGAGCTTTTGTCGAATATTTTGTGGGTCTGCAGCGCTGGCTTAACGTTTTCCCCCCCTGTTTATACATAGGTAGTATGGGTGTGTGTGTGTGGGGGGTGGGGGAGGAATTCTTGAATTTGTTGCCACAATAATGTTGTGGTCAGTGCGCTTTTGTGTTTGCCATGCTAAATGATCTCCAAATTATCTTTGTTTGTTTGTTTTTTGCACTGTTTAACAGTGTACTTGTACATTAATTTGTTGGCATTTGAAGATTTTATGGTACTGCTCTGCTATTCACCTTGGCTAAAACATTTCCAATTTGCAAAATTAATGCCATCAAGCAAGCCCAAAAAGACTTGACAAAGCCGGCGTAAGAAACAACAATACTCGTATCTATCTGAAACTGCTTCACAAGCACACCACACATCTATACTCATATACTGTGAGGTGAGACTACGTACTGGGTAAGAGCGAAGCTCGTTGCCAATGCCACAATGGAAATGACAGCACATTAAACTATGTGTGTGCGACTCTCAGCAAGTAACGAAAATTCCATTTGTGCATTCAGTTAAAATTAAAGTGGGCCAACGCCTAAGTGTCGACACCTTTTGAACCTAACTGTTAGCGGCGTTTGTATGCAAGGGTGTGTGTGCTGGTGGGTGTTTGCTCCAGGGCTCTCAGCGGGTTGGCAGAAATCTTACATGAAAACGAATCAAAAACAAGCGAAGCACAGAGGGAAATTAGAGAAAAATGTGTTACACAGCGACTTACATATGCAGGTAGGTGACCATGCCAGCTAATACAAACATACGTAACAAACACAAGTGCACAAGAAACACACACACACACACAGGCGCCAAAGTTTGCGGTGGCTGCTGGTCTGGCAGCCACTTTGAGACGCACTTTGCCAAAGCAATCTTCTAAACAGGATAAATGTAATTGCGCATGAATTTCTACGCATTTTTCTGTGAGCTCCTCCAAAGGCCGTCGCCGCCGACGTTGCTCAGCAAATATGTATTTAGTTATTGCCGTCGGTTGTCGCTCAGCACAACGCGATGCGAAACATGCGGCACTCGTATTGGTTGCCTGCAGACACGCCTCCTCTCTCAAACGCCATATGCTCTCACACACACAGACACACACACACGTATATCAGCTCTCTTTGCTTCGCTTGCTCGCTCGCTCTTGCTGACTCTTGCTACTTGGCGTGTAATTGCTTCGCATAACGGTTTTTTTGTTTTCTGTAAATTGTTTGCAACACTTTTTGAATGCTTCGTGGTTGTCTGTCCGCATCGCCAGCGCTTCGCTGCGTTGCTGCTGTGGTACTCATTAAAAGCGAAAGCATTTAAAATTTCAATTTGCGTGTGTATGAATTCGTTCTGCTCTCCGTCTGCAAGGTGTGCTCTGTCTTGCAGCGCTCGCCCGCTTTTGCAAAAATGGCTGCCTAGCTGTAGCCTATTGGGTGTTGGAGAAACATTTTGGAATGAAACAGAAACTGTGTTAGAGCTACTCAATTTCCTCAAGCAGAGGTGCAGGATTATTATCAAGTACAGATATTGTTGATATTCCTTTAGTTTTGGTTAGCTTTTACCTAAAGAAGTAAATCACATACATACAATTAAATAACTTAATTTCTAATTTTTCCGTCTTCCGCCTTATTTATTATAGAAAAACTGGAAAAACTTCTGCTTGAGTATAATAAAATAATAATAAAATAATAAATAATACCTAATATATACAGTCTTGAAAAGCAGCACTTTATCTTACCTATCTTTGTTTTAAACTTTGACTCGTTCATTATATTTAGTGTATAATGAAATTCAACAACAACGAAAATATTCTGGCTTGGGCAAAATTAAACATTTAAAACATTTAATCTTTTGTGATCTTTAGTGATCATAAAACAAAGTTAGAAAAATAAATCATTTAACCATGTTTACTGTCTGAATTTATTTATTTGCGCTTTGAATAAACTTGAATTTTGTTGGATTTCCTTGGATGTCCGGATTTGTAAAAACAATTACTCTATTATCATATAACATAACATGTCTGCTGTATATGTCTGCTTAATGCGTTTGATACCGTAATGCTCTTAATAAATATTAATTTTATTTTGCTCTATGCTTTCTTGCTATTCTTTAGAGACGGTTGTCGCTCCATTTAATCCGCTATCAATTCAATTGCTACCAATTTAGCCACAACTACATTCCGTATTAAAACACATTCAACACTTTCTCCGAAAACTTTTCATCAATATGCGGCAACAAATTTCAATGGCGAACCGAGCGCACAGAGCAACACTTGACCTTCTGCTAGGTGCCAATTGATTGATTTTATATTGGCATTTCAATAGCCGGCCATGGCATCTGCTGCAGCAGTATCGACGCTCGAAGGACTGCCTAGAAGAAGCGCCCCAACTTAGACATGTTTCAAATGCCAAGTGTTTCAGGCGGACTTTTTGCACAATTTACTATTTACTCTTTGTTTGCCTACTTTTTTGGTTGTTTTTTCGGGTTGTTGCAACAAAAAGAACATTCCCAAAGTGTCTGCTGATGCGGTTGCAGCGCAATTGTCGAAATAAATGAAAATAAATTCAACTGCAAATGGAATGGAAATAGAAACAATCCAAGCAAAAGAGCCGAGCTGAGATGGAGCGAGCAACCCCTGTGCGAAAGAGAACGCAATATGCGTGTGCAGGTTCTGTTCAGAGAAGCAGAGAGCTGAGACTCAACCCCGTGTTGAATGGCACACACCCTCCCAGCGGGCCTTGTCATGTAGTATATAAATGTATATATACATATTTATATATATGTGTGCGTGTGTGTGTGTGGAAAACCATTTAGCGCAAAGGCCAAAAGAATGCGAAGCGAGCCCGGCCAGGCAGGCAAGCAGCTAGCCAGCCAACCAACCACCTCAGTCAGTTTTAGTTTCAGTTTTAACTGAGTTGAGCGCACACGCTCTCGCACCCGACACGCTGCTTGTCTGACCGGGGGTTAAAAATCCAGAGACTGAAACAATAAAAACACTAAACGATCACTTTTACACACACACACTCGTACACACTCACACCACAGCACGCCGGCTCACACACACAGGCGTACCGTTTTTCCGGCGAGGACTTTTCGTCTTTTAACTGTGCATTTGAATTTAAATGCGAAACGTTGATCAAACGGTGCAGACGTATTGACGGCTGAACCGCGGCTGTCCTGAACATTTTCTCGAAGCGCAAAAATATTCGACATTTTTGCAGTGAGACTTTTGTGTGGAAAACCCAAGTGAAAGCAATTTAAAGAAAATTTTGTGAAAAAATAATATATTATTATTAGAAGACCAGTGCTTAACAAACTCAAGCTCTTTCTTGTGTGAGTGCCCAACATGTCTTCCTCTGAGGCCGAAGTAGACATCAGTGTGGTGTCCAGTCCGGAGCCAAGTCCAGTGGGCATCGCGTCTCATGGCCGCGACAGTCCAATGCGTTCCCCGGCTCGCTCTGCCGACGGCAGTACACCGCCCACGCCAACACGCTCGACACCTACTACAGCGGCTGGCACGCCCACCTCCTCAAGTGCCGCTCAACACTATCACAGTCCCAATGGTGCAGTGCCACCAACGGTGTTGCATCATCACCTCCAGCATCATCTAAGCACTCTGAGCGGTCACCCGGTGGCGCTACATCATGCCCTGCACAGCTTCGGACACCTGCATCCGGCACATGCCGCACATCCTGCGCTCCTGCAGCACGCGGTGGCGCCAGCAGCAGCTGCAGTGCAGCATGCGGAACGCCTAAGTCCACCGGCCATGGCTGCCATGGCGCCCAAGTCGCCAGAACGCAATGGTGGCAGTATGGAGGACCTCAGTCATGGCATCAACATCAATAACAACAATAGCAAGGCATTGAATCACAACAATGCTGCGACGACGTGCTCGGCGGCAGCTGCAGCTGCCAGTGCGAACAGCAACGACAGTAATGCCAGCAGCAATGGCAACAAGGCCACAACGGGCTCCAATGGTTTCACCAGCTTCTCCATCTCCAGCATCCTGAGTCGCAGCGAGCCAGCAAAAAAGAACGGCGCCACACTGATTACGCCCATTCCACAGCTGCCGCAACCCGGCACAGGTGGACCCCAGGATGCGGCCATGCTCTCAAGGTAAGTGGAAGAGGATCCTCACATGCCATTACCTATCTAGATGTTCTTCGATTCCCAAGCATTCCTAAGCATCCTAAAGAGATTTTAAATCGTGAGTTCTGATCGCTCGATATACTTGTATGTTATTTGGCTGCAGATACAAATATTTCGTTATTCGTGAAATTTTGGATTTTTCGGAATAGCACCCAGGTGTTTTAAAATTTGTGTGCTGGAACAACATTCTAAGTTCTGGTGCCACACTAGAGAAACTTCGACTAGATCAAACCTAGAAGCCTGAAGAATATTTATTGAATTTAAGTAGAAATTCTATGTTTAGTGATAAAAAGAATGCAAACTTTTTTGTTTGCGCTTCGATTTCAGTGCCAAACATTTCTTAGTAAATCATCAGTAAATCAATCTCTATTTCATTTTGTAAATTTATTTGATAATTTTATGAAAAAAGGATATATGTAAACGGTCCTAAATAGAGCTTAGTAACTACGTTGTACTCGTCCTTCGAGAGCAAAGGTTCGCTCAGCACTCCTTCGGCTTAGGCACAACTATAAGCCAGCTTACGCCAGAGTATTGTCTTTCGGTTTGTGTTTCCGAACTTAAAACCAAAAAGTCAAGCGGTCGTTCATTCTTCAATACACCTAAGCGGCCAAAATTGCACTTGCCTGTGACCTGTTTCTGTATTGTTTCTACTTCGTGTATTGAGTAAATTTTTATATAATCTCTGAGCTATTCAATCGAAAACGAAACTGTGCCTGAGGTGACACAAATCTCTTCAAAGGAAAAACATACGATTCCTCTTCAGTATTGTCCGTGGTTGAAGTATTTATTGTTTATGTAGATGTTTTTCGTGCCCTTGTGATAAGACATTTAATGGACATTTTCCAATATCAAGCCAATGTTACAGGATACGTCAAGTGGGTCATATGAAAAGGATAATCTAACAAACGAGATGCTGAATAGAAGATAAAATAGCGTCTCTGTTCTGAGCTGAACTACTCAAGAGAACAGTTTTAAGTGGAGTTAATAGCCACAGTTTACTTTTCAATATAAATTGAGTTCGTAAAGTAGAATTCACTATAATGTTCTTGAAACATTACTTTTCTCATTTAAAGTAAGCGGCTTCTTCAGTTTTATTTGATAGACTAAACACCATTGGAGCTGCGGAAATTGATTGAAATTTGGTGTTTATCTACGATACATTATTTCAGTGTAGTATTTTTGATATTTGATAAAGTTAAGAAACACTTCTTGCCAAAAATATAGGAAACGCGAGTATAGTTAGCATTTATTTTTCCAATTGATTACAACATATAAAATGTGGTGGGCTATACTAGGACTTGTATTAGATTCTACAATATAAAATAATTAGTGGCACTTTTGTTCAATTCGTTTGATTGTTAATGTTTAATTTATACGTTACAGCTGTCAGTGAATAAAATCGATTTACTGCATTGGCCATATCGGCATAATGCCATACAATTGACCAATATATCGTATTACGAAATAAATGAAATTCAATGCATGCATGAAACACATTTTGACAGACAATGCATAGAGTTATGAATACATTTTTCGTTTTTGATGAAACTGACCTACAGGGACAGCCACCTACATACACACACACACATGCACACACATACATGTGATATAGTTTATTAATGAATTCCAAAGCCAGTTGGGCTGCCCCACTTAACCTGAATTTAAATATGCCGAGGCAATGCCAGACCCAGAGATCGAATTACGTTGGCCGATTAACGCGTGTGTTGAATTAAAAAAATGTTGCACTTTTATTTTATGTTCCGTTGTATGCATGGACTTTCTGTTTGGCCGGCCTGTCCTCATTGCTGCCTAATAATGATCATTTTCATTTCATTTACGCGTACGTTCGTACGTTCGTGTGATCGAGCGATAAGCTCAGTAGAGAGCTCGAGTCCTGTTTGCGAGGGTCGCGTGCTGTGGTCGTTGGTTACCCCAATTAAGGATCGTCGCCCTCGCCAAGTGTTGACTCCTGCTGTTTGGCGCTTACAGCTGACATTTGACGTGTGGCTGCCTATGTGACACGCTTATCAGTTGATCATCGAAAACTACCCATTCGGGGACTGTTTTCTCCTCTCTGGAGTCCGAGGCACGAGTAGTCAGCTACAAAATGATTAATTCAAGCGTGCACAAAATGCTGAGTGATCGTTTAAAATGTATATTTTTGTTTTTTGGCTACTTACTATAATGCGACTTTCTCCAGACTGGCCAGAGTATTTTGACAGTTATGCCTGGAATTCATTTTTTAATTAGTGGTGGCTGCTACTGTAGAACTTTTATTTATTTCAACTTTTTTTATTGCAGCTTAATTATAGAGGAGGAAAAAATGCATATAAGCGTTGTAATTCGATATGCTTGGCTCGACCAACAAAGTACTGGTACTGGCAGGGCGCAAAGGGTGCCAAGCCACAGGAGCGGAAATTGTGCGCTTAAAGATGACGCAAAAGTACTCGCTGACAATATAATTATAAAGCACATAATTACAATGGAATGGTCTATTTTTGTCCCTTTCATTAAATCACTGACTCATCCATTCATTCACTCACTCACTCGCAAATCTTATCTATCAAAAGGGATTAACTCGCTGCGTCATTTAATGGTGAATTGCTTTTGATTTAGGGCCCTTGGCGGCATGTCCTGTGCTGCATTTTTATCTAGATGATATGCCAAGTATTTCTATGGCCGCAATTTGACTCGACGGTCGCTCGGAGGCGCGTCCATTAGGGCGTTGCAAATGTTTCAGTTGCTAAAAACACAAGCGGCGTGCATGCGCTTTTCCACTTTTCCATTTTGTGATAATATCAGCATTTTCTGATTTCTAATTGTTATTTGATTCTACGGACAGTGTTGACTTCTTTTTCCTGCATCAGGCTATAAGAATGAGTCCGCCACGTGTCATTCCCTTGGCTTCCCGTGGCGTTTTGAAAAACTAATATTGCGCCCAACGCAAATGTCACAATTTTTCAAGTGGCTTATCCCTTTCCCGCTTCCATGCTCCTACCCCGCATCCACTAAGTCGCTCTATACTAATATTTACTCTACTCACTCGCTCTCTAATCCCGCTTAATGACAAAGGCCACCTCCAGGGCCTCCGCGCTGGGTCTGCGTCTGCGTCCTCTTCCATTTCCGTGTCGAGTTTTGTGCAGTCAGTCAAGTGTAAGTCTTTTGCAATGTTCAATATTTTGGCTACTTTGCGGTTGCGTCGAGAGTCTGAACGACCCGCACATCGTGTTAACACCCGATGAAATGTCAAAAATATAATACAGTTACGCAATCTGTGAGTGTGCGGTTATGTGTGTTTGGTGGGTTGCTTTATGCAGCCAATTAGCGTGTTTAAATCTTTTATACATGAACGATTCCTGAGCGGTTTTAAGCCTGCCAGGCATGCCTTTGTATTCAAATGCAGCAGCTAGTGGCACGTCATAGTTTCATTTGAATTTAAGCATTTATTTAAATTAATTTTGTAATTCGCTTGGAAATCGTGTGACAATTGTCGCTGCTATATATGGTATATGGGATATAATTCGGATTGTGTTTAAGTGGTCTTTTGAGTAATGCCAATGGGGGCAGCTGCATCCTATTTAGTGGCGAGTTGTGCGGGCAAATTGGAGTGGAAGGGCTAACTAACTACTTAAAACGCTTGGGTAGCTACTGTAAGATTGGATAATTTTATGAGAAACCAACATACAAAAAATGCATATTTCACAATCTTCCAATACAATTACTTTCTTCTTCGCGAAAAAACATTATTTATGCTCGGAAATATTCGTTCCGTCCGTAATTTCATTTCAGCCACACTCTATCTATGGCAACATCAAAGTCACTTTTCAAAAGCACGACAAACCGCTTTCAGGGCCAACCATACCCTTGTAAAACATGGTGTTTCACAATTCGATCGCAAAGCGCACACTTTTGTAATAGAGTAGAAACCCTCAAGACAAATTATGACAGGCCGGCAAGAAAACAAAACAAAACCACAAACAATTCATTAAACGAAAAACGGCCATACATCAGCATTATGGGATTGGCCAGCCAGCTGAGTAAAACAAAAACAAAAACAAAAAAAAGGTAAAATGATAACAGCAACAAAAACTCTCCCACATCGCGTTGACTTCTGACAGCTACGTGGCCGCCGCTCCCCATGCTGCTGAATTTTTAACATGGCTGCCACCCCGTTTCCGCCACAAAATGACACTCAATGAAAATTTATACACAGCTATGCGGTGATGATGGCGATGGCGCTGGCGGCTGCCCGAGGCAAAGTGATTTTGTATTTATTTCATTACTGCCCAGCCGGAAGACAAATGCGGCCGCGTCCGTGTGCTTTTTGATTGAAATAATTAGTAAAGCAAATAGCTACAAGCTGTTCGCAATTTTTTGCCTACGCGCTGATTTGGGGCGCCGAATTAGCGCGCGCTAATTACGGTTATTTCTCCACGCTATTCCCTCCTGTTTTTGCCGTAACTTGAGCATTGCCTTGGGCTTGATGTTATCTTTTGGCCGGCTTCTGTGCGCGAACTGGTCAAAACAAAAGCGGCTTTTTCTCAATTGACGTTGTAAACATGAAACCCATTAGAACTGATTTGGAGGAGTTTGAACAGGTGCGTGTTGGGGAAGCCTTTGAAGTGTGACTCATAACTTGGCCAGCCTGCTTGCCATTTTACTGACGTTTTGGCTTACCACAAAGTGCAGACTTAATTGAAAAATCATTACTGGGTGTAGAAAGCAATGAGTAGCGTCCGTGAGAGACAGGGAGACAATCACACACAGCTATTGATTTCTTCAGCGCACTGCACCTTGGCCATTACGAAAGAGGTCAGCTAAATGTTAATGTCACACAAGTTGTCCGAGAGAGCGGCCGGCTCATTGTCGGTCCCTGGTGGGACTGACTGGTGGAACTTTGGGTGTTGCCACAACGACAAATCAAAGCCAAATGCAAGCGGCAAAGTCATCGTCGCTCATCGTTTGTTGATGTCGCAGTCACGGCTGTCTGCTGCTTGTGCACGGGTCACTGACAAAACGGTCAAAAGGGTTAACGACAAATACCCGTACAACAATGGCAACAATAACAACAACAGCAGCAGCAACTTGGCTCAAAGCAAGGCAAGAAGAGCAAAATTGGTCATTGACAAGCCCAGACAAGCCACAGTATGAAAAAGTGGGGTTGCTTTGGTGGCACTTTAGACTTGTGGGAATGCGACTGCAGGTGTTTTTATTTCCAAATAAGTTCAACGGGCGCGTGGGAAGCAGAAAGCCACCATTATAGTCTCAAGCCCAAGTTTTTTTTTTTTTTTTTTACCATTACAGAACTATTATTATTTAAGAACTCGGAACTATAAAAATATAAACATATATTTAAAGTGAAAAGTTTGGTTTTTCTCAATAAATTCTCCATCTACCCAGTAAAGGATTAGGGAATCGCCATCATGTGTGCAATGGCAAAAGGTGAAAGCCTTACATCCCTTTATTTAAAGAAATCAGCAACATACATTTGGTTTCTAATAGTTTTGAAATGGCTAAAATCTCGTAACTAATTGGAAAACTTGCCCATAATGTTCAAATTAATAAATAAATTGCCACCCAATAAACAAGAAGCTCAAGCTCATTCATAAGAAAATCACTTAAGTGCCACAAACAAGAAACATCCGTCGCTATATGAACGAGCCCGCCCCTCACCCTTGCCTCTACCTAGGCCTAGGCCGTAATATAACCCTTCGTCCTCCCCATGCCCAGAACCCAAACTCAAAGAACCTTTTTGCTCGCCGCCCGCCAATTACCTCCCGCATTAAGTTCTGCTTGAATGATTTGACTTGAAACTTTGATTTGGGACAATAAACCCTATACAAGCATACACACATACATACACATATTCTACATACATATATATATACATAAGCGGTCTCCAACAACCCTCATTATATGTACACACGAGTATATATCTATAGAACACATTATAAGCGCCGCAAAGTGTTTCGTCTTGCAAACTTTGCCCGTCTAACATAAATAAATAAAATGTATTTATAAAGATGCTTTTAAGTAAGCAAGTTAACACGTTTATATATATGTGTATATACATATATATACACACAGACAAATACTGATGTGCTGGCATATGTGTGTATGTGTGCGCCATGTCTGGGGGAAATACTTGCAGCAGCTGTTGTCAGTTATGGCTGCCTGCCGACCAGGCTACAAGGAAGGCAATCGCATCATGGGGTTGCTTAACGTTCACTTAGGGGTCGTTCGCAGAGCAGTTTTTCTTTTTGCTGGTCGGGTTTTCTTGCTGTCTGCCACTCGAGCTTTGATTTCTTGGTTTTTGTTTCTTAAGCAATATTTGGCCTTAGGCATTGTGCCAACATACATATACATATATAGGGACTTATAATGGGCCTCTTACACTCTTGCCCGTTCCGTGCGCACTGCTTCCGTTTTGATTTTGCGCAATTATAATGCATAATTTATGTGTGTGCCATACCTTAATTTACTGTATTAACCATCTTGTACCTTTTTTCCTTCCTTTTCGCTTTGCAGATTGGGTTTCATTTCGCAATGGGGTGCTCTAGCCGGCCGCTATGCCGCGCTATGTCCGCCCGGATGGCCGTGGGCGCCACAACGTATGCCATTCCATAGCCCCACACATGGTAAGTTGAATGCGAGATTGGGAATTGTTTGAATTGCCTATTCATCGAAATTGTGTGTGCAATACGTACTTTGAGGTCTGAGTGTATTTTCAACAATATTAATTATAAAGCCAATCGAAAAATATGATGTAGCTAAACCCCCAGTTACTGAAGTTAAGATATACTGAAACCCTTTAGAATTATTTGATTAACATCGTTTACAATTAGTTATTGGCACACAAACATTTAAGGTTTTAAGATACATACATAGACGTTCCATATGCGTTCAATAATGATCGGCAACACTGTACCCAAGTATGTTATTTATCAGCAGCATAGCTAGATGATTAAAACTATTACATCCATCACGAAGAAAGAAAGCAAACTATGGAGGTTGCCAAACTTGGAACACTCGGGAAATTCCTAAAATATTAATAATCAGTTTTTCCCTACACCCTCTCTGATATGTAAATAAATAATATCAATTAAAGCAGTACATAGTATTTTATTCCGTTGCTTTTGTATGTATCGTTTCTATTGAAAAAATGGAGCAATTGGTTTAATGATAAATCGGAATAGTTTGAGCAATTCTCGAACATTTTATTTGCATTCATCTTCGCAGCTACGAAATGTAATGTTCATTAGTTCTGTCCCGTCTTGCTTGGCCAAATGCCTGAGCGATTTAACCCAGAAGCAAGCAATACTTTCACTTTTGTATTTGTTTGCGCAATCGAAAAATGCGCTTGGTCAGGCATTTCTTAAGGCATTCGAAACATTTCGCTTTTTCGACTTAGTTGTATTCGTTTAATGCCACAAAGAATTTACGAAGCACGAATTGCGCCAGGAAATGTGCTATGGAAATGTCTTAGGCGAACACACACATACAGAGGTATCGGCTTACGGTGTTTCAGTTGCCGATGCGTGCCAATACACATGTAGTGTTGGCGACTTGCAACTTGACTGCATTAATCGCCATTTTCAATTAATTGCAATTTGTAATCGAGTATCGAGTTACTAGGAAAATGCACCAGTCCGATTCACCATGTGTGTGTTTTTGTCACGTATTAAGTACGACAGCGACTGCCACGACTGCAGCGGCAACTGAAGCAATCGTTCCAGAATAAGCCGACTTAATTGGCCCCTTGGCATTAAGAGTCGTTGCAATTAAATTTGTTCATGTAAAGTGGCCTTAAGTTTTGAATGGCTGGCATTTTGCTGATGCGGTGCATTGCTAGCTGGATTAGCCGGCGGCGGGGGTCTTCCTGAATGTTAGGAGAATGAAATGTGAAATGTGATGAAAAACAAATCAAGTTGAGCAAAAGCTTTTTGCGCCCAGGTAAATCCATTACAGGCAAATTACAGCAATTTAAACTTTTTCAAATGATATACAAACTAAAAGCTCAATAAAAAGAAAATCGACAAACTAACTGACAGCCATTTTAAATGGTAATTTAACACACACCAACACTGCGCGCACACAGACAGGCAGGCAGGAAGACAGACAGCCCGACACAGGGACAAACACTTAAGTATATATGCATGTATGTATGTATATGCCTGTACATACGGCTATAAAGTGTCGGGGCGCTCACTGAGTCTGCGCTTTAAGTTGTATGGCAGTATCAAAATGAAAAAAAAAACAAATAAATAAAGACAGAAAAAGAAAATAAACAGAAAAAACCAGCGAGGCAAGTGTGAGGTTAAGTGTTGCAGATTAAATCTGTGCAGCGACACACATAAACACACACTCGGGTAGTTGGCGTCGTCGAACAACCCTTAGAGAGTCTACCCCCATCTTCCGACACACATACATATGCACGCACAAACATATTCTTGGGGCAGCTTACAAATCAACTAATAATATCTGCGTTCTACTAATGTTCTTCCCTCTCTTTCTCTCTCTCTCTCTTTCGGTCTCTGTGTCGCGCTCTGTGTCGTGCTCTCTTCGATGATGTTCGCTCGCTCTCTTTGCAGACAGTTCCTCCACAAACACCACGGAAAATCCACCATCGCCCACATCGCTCAGTCCGAATCACTCGAGCAACCATAACAACAACAACAACAGCAGCAGCACTGCCAGTGCCAACAACAGTAACGCCAACAACAATGGCCAGTGCGGCGGCAAATCACCTCCACCTGGTTCTGCGCTCCACAGCCACCATGCCCAGCTGTACCAGCAGCAGCAGCAGCAACAGCATCCACACGCCACCCAACAGCATCCACATCAGGCTAGTACGCCCACTAGCAGCGCTGGCCATCTCTCTCACCACTTGCAGTCCTCGCATGGGTCGCTTTCTAGCGGTAACTACATGCTGCCCACCAGCTCGAATGAGTCGGACGACGAGGGCGAAGAAATAATTGAGGAGGATGACGGCACTGACGGGCCCTCAGACAGCTCATCGCCGCATGGCGATGGCAACCAGTCGAAGCGGAAGAAGAAGACCCGCACTGTCTTCTCGCGCGCACAGGTCTTCCAGCTGGAGTCGACCTTCGATCTCAAGCGTTACCTCAGCTCCTCGGAGCGTGCCGGTCTGGCGGCTTCACTGCGTCTAACCGAGACACAGGTGAAGATTTGGTTTCAGAATCGACGCAACAAATGGAAGCGGCAACTGGCCGCCGAGCTGGAGGCTGCCAACATGGCGAATATGGCGCATGCGGCCCAACGGCTGGTGCGAGTACCAGTGCTCTATCATGATGGCACCACGGCGGGCTTTGTGCCTCCTCCACCCCCTCACCATCATCCTATGCAGTACTATGCTGCGGCTGCGGCACGCAACACCAGCCCACCGCGGCCGCCACTTTCTTCGCTGGTATAGGGCGTGGGGTGCCTAGCGGCTGTGGGGCCCATTAATGTGAATGGGGCGCCCATGTCGCTATTAAAACCCGTGTCCGTGCCATCCCCTTCACTGCCTCCTATGCCGCCGCGCACACCAGCGCTGTCACTCAGACACTCATCCATAGAAGTGGACTGCGACACGGATGGGGATCAGGAACGCGGTATAGCGGATGAAGAAGACGATGCTGCCATCGATGTGGAAGCCGACGAAGAGCATGATAGTGAATCAGCAAATTTTTGTGCGACCACACTCTCTTCCAAACCGCCAGGCGCCACGTTCAAGGTTGGGAAATGCCTGGACCGGTGCGAAAGCTTGAGAAATAGTGCCAATAGTTCGCCGGTGGAGGCGTCAGATGAGAAATCCATTGTCCATAAAGCTTACTAAATAGCTATGGCATTGCCTGAAAGAGTATTTGAATCAATGGCCAAATGAATGCTGCACATCAATTGGTTTCAAAACAATTTTTCTACTATACGAGTATAGGCCTAAAAAGAAAGGCGGCAGAAGCTCGCTGCCCCATCTTTCATCTATCCGCATAATCTATGACAAAAACAAAAAACCGAAGAGTTTTTCATAGTTCGTTCCTAAATCCTTTTTGTATATATTTGATTTTAAGATACAGTCCAGGCAATATTGCCACTTGGACTATTCTCACTTGTACTCGTACCCCTCCCCCAATCCTCCCTCTCATTGTAAATGTCTCTTGCTCAAGCAGTTTTAAGTCATCAAATTTTTGTATTTTGGTTTGTTTTTATATTTTTGATTTGGTTTCTGTAAATATTTATGGTTTCATAATTTTAATGCGCTTTTGCTTTAAACCTCAATTGCTGGTCAAACACTTTGATAGATGGATAGTTTTTGTATGATACAAAAGATATTTAATTATGTTTTAATATATACATTAAATCTATTTGTAATATAAACGCGTAAAATAATCTGCTAAATAATAACAACATATTTCAAAATGTGTAACTAGTTAAATTATTAAAATACAAATTTAATGTTAAAATAATCAAAAACGCAGAGAGCGGACAGAAGGAAATACAAAGTAATGCTTATAAATATAAATGGAAATTGCAAAAGAAAAAATAAAAGTCATTTAACAATAAAACACCAATCGTGTTTTTTTTTTTATTTACTTTAGAACTTTTGAATAGCGCAGCTTCTGGAATGATTTTCTGTGTTATGGCTTGGACGCAATGAAGTTATATTTTGAAGTCCAATATTGGGCAGGATATACGGATGCAAGGCTATACACTTCCCCTCTATTTTTTAAATTGTTGCTTGAGCTCCAAGACAACTGTATAAGACAACTAGCTAAGTATGACGAATGGTATACACCTGCTTCTGTTTTTACACGGTAGATTGGTTCCAGAAACAACAACAAAAAAGATATTGATCATATGCAAAAATAGGTAATTGGTTCCTTATCTCTATAGAAATATACTTGTATATGAAATTTCTAATTTTCAAACCGTGTTATATCAAAATGGTGTAAAAAAGACCGTGTAAAAGCAGAATTAGGTGTATTACTGCAGTCAGAAGGTTCCAAATATTTTATTTTAGTTCATAGTTTATTTTAAATCTGGACGATGGTTCTTGCCAAAACACCTTATGACAGAAGGCCTCTATAATATTTTTGGGCTCAAGCAATAAATTCCGAATTTAAATTATGTATAATGTTCAAGAACTTGCCGAAAAGACCGCTGGGAAGAATGATAAATCGAATGAAACCAAAATGAAAACCCAACTTGTAAAATCGTTACGTGTAGCTCCGATTTTTAGAAAGTGTTTTATGTTTTCTTTATTATAGTGATATAGGGTTTTTTGTCTGTCTGCCAGTAAGAAAGGTAAAAGGAAAATTGAAATCCGAGTTTGGTTCGCTAAAATTCTTTAATTATTTGAAATGTATTTACGTAATTATTTTTCAGAAGCTTTGTATCTGATAACTAGTGTACCAAGAATACGTTTGTGATTTCAAGTCTTTTTTAATAATTGGGTCAAGTTACTATAACTGGACAATCCTGGCCACCCAATTACACAAAACTGTAAAATGGCGTCAAAAAAAACAAAAAAATGATATAAAACCAAAAGAGAACTAACCTGACTACTATGTGGAATATTCTTCTGGTTCTGCATCAGTTCGGAAGCATTTCAAATGTTTTCATTTGCCATTTAACCATTGCTAGGGAGTCCTTTTGCCAGGCAGTAAGTTGGCGGTCACAAAAGCGGCAGAAACACTTATTTACGTTTAATTGCTATCACAAGTCATACATATGTATAAACACTTTCGTACATATGCATAAATGGCTGTATATTTGTGCAACAATGCCAGCTAACTGCAACAATTGCCGCCATGTTGCACGGCTTAGGCTGGCGCAGCTGCTGTCCTGCCCTTTGTTGTTATTGCACGAGCAGGCTAGGCGGTTTAAGTTTCCATTTATTGTGCAGTTTGTTGCAATTTAATCGCGTCGAGCGCGTTGAATGTTTCCAGCCCCACTCCCCCCATACATCTTTCAGTCGGCCACTTCGTAACCGTGCCGCGTGTTAAATTGCAAAAAAAAAAACAATCAGGATTGTGCGCGGCAAATGCATTTCATGTTTGTGTATAAATGGCAATAAAAATGCATAGAATACTTCTGGTTATGTTTAACAAACGTTTTCAAATTGGAATTAACAGCCATCCATGCACACTCTCGCAGACACATTCGAATAAATGCAGCTACACAATTATTTATTTTGTGGTGGGCGTTACAATCTACCCGATTGTGTGTAATTGGTGGGCGTTGAAATCTATTTATTGCGTTGTATGATAGGCATTTGTGCAATGCATTTGGAAAAGTGTTTTATGAAATTAGCCGAATTAAACTGGTTTTATGGAGATATGGAGAGCTGCCTCCGCTCTTATGCCTGCTAATGGTAGTTATATGTATATATATCTAATTATTATGCCATATTATATTATTATACCCACTTCCAAGGCAAGTCGATGTAACAATGTCGGCCTATCTGTTTGTATGAACGCAGAAAATATAATAACTAGAATAACAAAGTCTAACCCAGTCTTCCTCTATTACTGATTTTTCCAAACTTCCGTAATTCCTAGCATTCCTCGAACTTTTTATTAGGTTTTAATTTGTATACTCTGTTCCCGTAGGGTAAAAAGAGTATATTATTTATATTACTTTACCCCATAAAGTATATATGTTCTTAATCAGCATGACGGGAGAAATCGATCTAGACATGTCCGTCCGTCCGTCTGTCTGTCCGTCTGGATGAAAGCCTGGATTTCGGAAACGGTTGAGCGCACATTTACCAAACTTGGTATGCAGACGCTCCTAGTCCCTAGGGTACATGAGTTTATCTTCTTTTTTAATTCAAAATTTATTCAAATCAAAAACGGTCTTCAAAGCCCTTAAGTCGGTTAGTTACTAGGTAAATAAATATATTGGACAGAGCGTATTCGTAATATGATAAATTAAACATATCATAAAGGAAGTCTATTTCGGTTTTCTTATGTTGCATCGTCTGTTCTTATAAAAAAGCGCTCATGTTTTGATTTTTAAAGGAACTTTAGTTTCTTGTTTCGTGTAAATAATAATACCATTGGCATATAACAGCCAAGATTTCTTTAAATAATACATGTTAGGCAGCTGATCCTTATACACATACTACATAGTACACTTACTTGTATACCTGTATACATATTTGCAACCGACAGCCGCACTTAAAATAAATTTGTGATGAGGCAACAATGGCACACAAGTCGCAGCTAAGCAGCCAATGGTACGCCCATAGCCATAGCCCTCATACCACCCCCAATCTGAAACAGGTTGTGTAATTTGAAAAGGGGTTTTTCATTTCATTTTTATATAAGCCGACTGAACAAATTAGGCAGCCTTTTATGTTGCGATGCTCTCTCGCTGGCTGCGTATTTTATTTCAGTTTTTTTGGACAACGAATTTTTTGCATGCGCCCACCATTTCTGTATGGATGCAGTCAAGTGCTTGAGCATTTTATTTAAGCACATGAATGGATTTTATGGCTTTACTTTTTTCGCTAAGGAAATGCGCTTCCAAAAAAAAAGAGAAAAAGGCACCAACTCAATTCATTTCATAAAATGGTAGAAAATTGTAGCGAAAATATAAAAATTGCCTGCGCGGCTGGTTGGGGGCTTTCCGGTTTGAATGTCTGCATGGCAAAGAACGCTGTGGAGGTGAGGAGTGGTTTTATTACTTGCCTTTTGGGCGCTTTTATAATTTCGGTCTTTTTCGGTTGTTTTGGCCACATTTGCTCATATGCAAAGTGAATTGTTTGGGTGGGTGGGGGTTGCCGTTGGCTGGATTATGTTTTTGTAGGGTACACTGTCGGAGCATAACAGTTTCCTAACAAATTGACTTTCATGTGAATATTTAATAATTATGATCAATATTTGTGCAATCTTCACTTATTTTTTCGACAAGATTTCGATGTACCTCTTCCAACAGCGATTTGTGTTCATATGTTCGAGAAAGTTAGTGAGTTAAAAGAAAAGAATATTAAATATTGGAAGTTTTCCATTCATAAATGAATAACTCGGACCTAGAGAAATAATACCTAAATATGCCTGATAGAGATTTAATTTTTCATTTTGACTTATTTAACTTATTATTTAACTTATTTGCAGGAATTTTAAATACACCTAATTCTGTTTTTACACCATCTTTTTTACACAGGTTTGATTAAACACGGTTTGAAAAATAAAAATATTATATATTGTTACTCAACTTTATTCCATTTGGCAAATTCAGCGATTCAAAATAACACAAAATAAATAAATAACAAGAGAGAACGCTACAGTCGAGCAAGCCCGACAGTGTAATACCCTGTAAACTTCCGTCACTGAGTTATATGAGCCCATAGCAGCAGCAAAAAGAGGAAGAAGAAGAGCGAACTTGTTGCTGCAGTTTGGGGGGTTGCACTGGAGAGAATTTGTTTCG